TGTTTTTAAATTGTCTCTTTTTTGGTTCTATTTTATTGATTATTTGATCAATTTTTTGGTTTACAGTAGAAAGTTGATTTTGATAAGTTTTATAATGAAGCAAGAAACCAAGAAAGAGCCAATTAACAACCCGCAAAAAAATTCATTATTGAATGTAAGCATTTTTTTTAAATGTTATCACAGATGAAAATACTGTTAATGTAAATTAACTTCATACTAATTATTTTATATAGGAATAATTCTATATATTACTAAAGTAATAGGAAAGATTATAAAACTGTTAACTAAATTTTGATCCCTGGAATCCTTGATAATACAAATGTTCACTTTGTCTGGTTTTGTTGCAGCATGCCCCAATTGTAGCATTTTCATAAAATCCCAAATATTTGCTTCGGAAGGGACAATTAAGGTCTTGATGAAATAATTTCATCATTTAAATTGTATCCTTCACATAAGAATATTTTATTTATACATGTAGATGCTGAATGCAACCTTTTTAATGGTCGTGATTTATCACCAGACTTCCATCCAACCTGTTATTTAAAAATTATATAAATGGTTCAACTACAAAAAATATAATACAAAAATGTTTTTTTGAATACTTTATGTGGATCTTGAATTTAGGTGGAATTCTAATACTACCACAAGCAAACTTCATAAATTTTGTTTTTTATCTAAGAATTCAATGTATTCTCCATATAGTTTCATTCTTGTTTTAGTTATTAATTCCTTTGGATTTTGGTAATCATCTAAATAATTCAATATATCACTTCCTTTTGTAACAATGTGATAAAGATATTTTCCAATTGATCTCCAATGGGATATGCATTGGTTGAATATGAACTTATAAAGAATCAAAAAAAGCAATTGATGGAATTAATGGAACAAAATTCCTTGGTAAAACGTTATTTTGTGATTTTGCGTTTATAAGACCACCTGTTAATCCAACTATTAGTTTGCCGGATAGAGATACAAGAGATCGTTCCATCAACAAGAAGTAGAATTGGAAGTAGTAGAAGACGTGGAAGGTCATCAAGCCCATTGTCATCATCAAGGAGATATTAAAAATTATAATTCGGGGAATGGTGAAGAGAGGTCAGAATGAGAAAGAAGTAATACATATACACATATATATTATAACGTTACAATTATTATGATTAATAAAAGAACTATTAATATTGAAACAACCTTAAAAAAATAATATGAAATAGAAAAAAATTAATAAATCTTAAAATAATAATCAGATTTTGTTACAAAAAAGAATTATTGTTGATAATATTACTATAAGATTATAATTATTGAAACCAATATCATAGTTTGGTTGAAGTTCGGTAATTATTACTTTGAAGATGTTGATGGATTGATTTATTATTATTATCATCAATTGTTCGTTTGATCTTGATCTTGATACAATATTTGTTGTATAATAATCTATTATATTATAGTTAATGTTATTATCAATTGATATTGTTATTATTAACTTTTTTCTAAAACGGGTTGTTTCTCCTTCATGAGTTGGTGGTGATTGTTGTAGATGACGTTTCTTATCTTGTGGGTGGCGAGGCCTATACTTGTACTCTAATAATCTCTTTGTATGTCTTTCTGATATTTGAGGTCTAACTTCCAAAGGTTTTCCATGCCACATTTTCCAAATTTTTTGGAAACATCATTATTAAAGATTCCAGCATTTTTAGCAACTATATGCGCTTGGAGGTCTCGGGTATGGTCGAGAATGATAGTTGGATTAGAAATAATTCTGATTTTACAATTAATTTTATAATTTGCACAGTAAATTTTACATGACTTAAAAATCCAATTCATTTGTGTCACTTGGTAGCATACCCATATAGGGTCTGTACTAGGAAAATCAAGCTTCCAGCTATTTTTTTTTTTTTTACTCTCTAATACTAATAAAGGATTTACAGCTGGTGAAAAAATTGGTCCCTGTTTGCATAGTAATAGTAGAAAAATGAGATACAAGGCTTGGAATATTTTCTTTATATATAAAAAACATGTGTAACCAAATTTATAAGGGTTGTTACTAAAAATAGATTTTTTGTCTGGAAGCTTGATTTTCCTAGTACAAACCCCATTTGTTAGGACATTATTCACACTTTAAAAAACTCAGTGCGCATTATGCATTATACAATTTTGCCTACATCTAATATGGACCTCATGAATCACCGGAAGAGTTATCATGAATATTATTTGTAATGATCCAATTGTAATATCATTTACATTCATTTTGCTAAATGAGAGCATAAATTCCAGGTTTTGCAAATGAACATTTTTTATGACAACTTGTACACTTGCTTTCATATATGTCATTTTCTTTTTCTTGACCTTGAATAAATTTCCTCCATACACCTCTAAGTTGTATGCCATGATTAATAGAATTACTTGATTCTTTTCTCAGTCTTTGTTCATTTATAAAAATTTTTGTCACAAAAGAAATTTATCTATTATTACAATGATCTTATATGTAAATTGACTCTGGTTTCTTTGTTCTGGTATGGCATATGGAAATATGAGTTCGCACTTATGATTACATTCTTGTAATATTGATGATGATGCTTCTTCAATTTGTTTGATACTACTTTCATTATAGTTTTTTTTAAGTTTGTATTCTCCATGAATATTTGACTGATAATTGTGAAAATTTAAGCATATACATTTGAACAACATTTTCCAAGTCCCCAAGATGTGTTAAAACATGGTAACCTAAAATAGCTCCAAGTGCAACTTTTCTAAAAATCTTAATTTGTCTTTTAAACATCAATAACAATCAGCTCAACATGATATTTCAGTAAGCATTTTCTTATTAATACATAACATCTGTTACTTAATAAACAAATGACTATTTATGCTAAATATTTATTTGATTATTTTCAAGTGAGTCAATACTTTTTTTAGGGGTGTTTACTCAATATATAATTCAAATACAAATCACTTATTATAAAACTTACCTACAAGGCTTACTCAGATATTCAATTGTTATCAAAGAAAATAACCCTATTTAATAATGTAATACTACTGATATCATGTAGTGTTCCTATTGAACCAGACCAAACTGAACTTTTGACCATGTTCAAGTTTGGTTCAACAAAGCTCAGTTCAGGTTCAGTAAAGCAAAGGTTCAGTTCAAGTTCAGTTCCGGTTTAAAATTTTCAATTCAGGTTCAGTTCAAGTTCTGTTGCTTATTAATCAATATCTGGAATTACGTCATTAAATGGGGATAGAACAAAATGAAGAATCAAACAAAGACATTCAGATTGGAGTAAACCGGATTTCACTAGATATGTTACATTAATTATTCCTTTAATAAGTTTTAACGAAAAAAAACCAAGCCTTTTAAAAAGGCATTTGATGAAAATGTATCTTATTTTACTACCCGTATGAAAGAGAGTATTCAGAACAGAAAAAAAATTCATAAATATATATTAAAGTTGTAAAATTTTGGGGTGGAATTTAACTAATTTAATATTAATTTTAATTTTTAAATGTCGTGTGATGGAATTTTTTGGCGCATGGCGCAGGAATTAAAGAGTTCCCGCGTCATATTTGAATTTTAATTTACAATCTAAAACCTTTTTATTTTTTTTTAAGTATAGTTGTATTATCAATTACATTTATAAAATTTATAAGAGATAAACAAAAATAAATATCCCCGTATCAAAGAAATTTTTGTTCCTGTGATCAACGTTACACCACTCATTTTTCGATTTTTAATTTTGGTAAAAAGCCCAAATCTATTTTGATAACGCCCCAAAGATTTTTTTGAAGAGAAAAATAGCCATTACACAAACTATTCTGAAGTATTTTGAATTCCTAGAATTAGTTAATAGACAACTCATATTTTGCAAATATTTATTAACATTGACGTAATTTTTCTAGATGTATACTAACACAAGCCCTAAAAACTTAGTAAATGTAAAAATTCGCGTTATTACATTATAGACAAGGTTTCCAGGAGTAAAAAATCATTTCTGTGACCATTCCGCTCCTGGAATTTACACTTCCCTACTGGGAACATGTGTCTATAAAATATAGTCTCACAACAAAAAGGTATAGTAAAAAAGGTAATAATAATGGTATTACAAGGAAAATTGAAAAATTTTATCTTTATTATTTGATTTCCCTTATATGTATGTTTGTGATTATACTGATATGTAACACCCAATCCAACATGCTGGCTTGCAAAGAGAACAATATCTGCATTTTAAGGGATTTGCTATTGTTTTCTCAAAAAACCAAAATGTTGGATTCCAGTCGAGACTACTACCTCTCTTAGTAGCCGAAATTGCGAAGCACTTTGGGCAAAAATCAATTTTTTGCAAGCCTAAACTATTTTTTATTAATGGCCAAAATTAGGCGAAGTTTTTTTTAAAATTATTTAAAGTTCATTCTTATAGAAGCCCAAACTGTTGCAAAAGCTATTTTTTTTCAAAAATAGTTTGGACCATAATTCCTAAATATCGATATTCTTTTTGTTATTAATATCGTGCAAAAATGATTCACAAACGTGAAAATTAATCTTTAATTCTCGATGTTTATCTAGGTTAGTATCCATACATTTGTATGCCAATTCAATCAATGTAAATGTTGTGTATTATTGGGAAAGTCAGGTTTTCTTAATCCTTCGCATAACTTTATTATGTGATTGAATGGTAGTCAACCTATTGAAATGCCTGATATTAAAGCTCCAAAACTACAAATGTCTGAGGCTATTATATAGGGCTCGCCTTTAAAACTTCAGGAACTAGGTATAGTAATCTCCAAATATATATATATCATTACTTTATTTAATGAAGTCGGTTAGATAACTCTAAACATGTTATCTATGTATAATTATAATTATAATTATAATTATAATTTTTTCTTTGAAGAATATTTTTACATTATGAAGATTATGATGAGTAATTTTTTTGCTGCAAACCATTAATAATCTCTAAAAGAATACAGTCTTATTAAAATTGGTTGGTAAATATTCCCATATTTTATATTATAATGCGTTGCAAATGATGAATTATTAAGTTATTGAACTAGCAAAATATAAATGTTAATGAATGGTCAATAGTAATGAATTATCAATTATTTTTTAAAAAATAATAGATAATTCACTTACCTCGTTAAGGGATTCTCAGAGATATTTTCAGGATTATGTAATTTTTTTCATAAAAAATCCTATATTTACCACCATACATTCTATTATTAATTATATGCAATGTTTTTCGTAAAAATCTTCTACGAAAAGTATCCCCTCGATAAAGAAAAGTTGGTTAGTACAATAAATATTTACAATTTGTATACCTGAAATATAAATAAAATATAAATATTCCAATTGCAAATTTTTGTTGTGTGTAGTACAAGTAGTCGGATTAAAAATTTTTAACAACGAACCCTCTGTCCATTACAATCCTATAAACTTAGGTTTCTTCCGCAAAGGTTGCAGCGACTATTTTTATTAAAACAACTTTTAAAGAAAACGTCATTTTGAAATATTTTAAATTGTGCGATGACAAAAACGATAATCAATCGATTAACCAATCATATACTTTTTTTTTTAGTGTAATTGTCTGCGACATACCTAATTATTTCATCGCGACCTTTTTTTATGAATTTAATTTTTTACGTGACTTAATTAATTACTTTTAATAATACACGAGTATCTAACCATACGAGTGAAAAAAGAAAGAATTAAAACAATGAAAGGAAGACATTTTAAAACGTTCTAACAATGCTTTGAAATTACAAAATTTTTTTATAGATTACGAATTTCAATGATTTCTAAAAAGATATCGTCATTTGTTTATATTATTATTTAATATAAAAAAAGTAACAAACAGGTTACTTTGTGACATGGTATAAAATATACTTTGCGGTAAATGTCATTTATTTATTTGGGTTGACACGTTAAATATATAAATTTAATAAAACTAAAAATTTGAGATCGTCAAAATTAACAAAGGATTTAGGAAAAGAAAGGAGAGTGAACAAAGGATTAGCATAAGAATTGTTCTTTTTTTTTAGCGTTAGTAAAAAAAATTTTTTTCAATATTAATAAAATGACATTTTGTTTTGAGTAATGTATATATTCTGTTTATGATATTGTAGTACAAGTATAGTTAAAGGCAATATGTGTAAGTTTTCTTTATGTCGTAGAACGTCACACTGCATATATATATATATAGTTTTTTTTGAGGACTTGAACTAAAAAATTACTTTCTTTATGATACATAAATTAATTCATTAATAACAATCATGAAACATCGGCTCGTATATCGAAAAAGCTCGCTATCGATTTAACCACGAGATAACCGAGGAATTCGTTAATTAATTAATTTAATCGCTCTTATCTCATCGCCGCAATTTTCATCGTGATAGTAAGTATGGAAAATAATGAAAACAATAAAAATTTTTTGAAATTATAATTAATTATAATTTTCTTTAAAAAAAACTGTAGATTATCAATTCAAAAAAATAAACATAAGCCGACATCAAAAAAATTCTTTCGCAAAATCATTGCAAAAATTATGGATTAGTTCGATAAAAAATTGAAATTTTTTTATATATTTTTTTTATTTAACTTTAAGCATAAATTTAAATCTTATAAGCATCATATGTCATATCATAAATAATAAAAATTTTGTTGCATATATACGAATCACAATAATTGAAAAAAATGAAAAATGAAAGCATATAAAAAAATGAAAAAACGAAAAATAACGAAATCAAAATTACGAAAATACTAATTAAACGAACGAATAACGAAATTATTTAAAAATCAGAACACATATAAATTGGCGTGAAGTTGATGTTAAACAACTCCCCTATAACATAGTTATCGTCACATATGTTTATGAAATTAGAAAAAAAATCAATATTTTGACATTGCTGTTCAAAGACGGTGGGATCGTGTCGGGTGTCAGTGGTAGGTGTGGCGGTGGCTGTTGTAGGCTTTGGCTTTTTTGAGGTCCGTTTGTGGACTTTATGGCCCATCGAACGGACTTTTAGGATGGACTTGTCTCGTTTTGGTTGGTATTTGTAGGTTGGAAACTTTTCATTGAAAAGCTGTTGAGCAATCTTATATAATTGGATGAAAGGTTCCTTTTCATTGGCCGAGAACTGCCTCCACAGCATTGATTGGGATTTTGACAGCACTGTCTGGTTGTTGTGGCCAGGGATTGATTTTGAAGTTGCAAATCTGTTGAAAACAGATTTGAACTGAAAAAAGCAGTTGGATACACGCCCAACCGTGTTATTTTTTTTAGAGGGTAATATAGGATGATGGCCTTTGGCCACACAAATGAACTCGTTCAAATTATTTTTGAAATAGAGCACCATTTGCTCTATAAGTTCCTCATCGTTCGCCTCTTTAATACAAACTGACATATTGATTGTTCGTTATTCCTCGTTTTATTACGTGATGTGATTATTTTTTTGTTGTGTTATATGATCTTTTGTTTCGATAGAGAATGAATAAAATAAATAACAACGAATATTGTGAATTATTTAATTATAACCATTATCATGTTGGCTTTGCCTGTATTTATACTTTTTGAAAATCTAAAACGTTCATTTATTTTAGTTAATTTTCCTACAAATAAACATTTAATGGAATCAGGATTAATCTTCCTAGAATATTTTTCAAAGTGCATTTATTTAAAATTACTAAATTAGTATTATAAATGTGTGTTCTTTCATATATTTTTATTATTATGGGAATTTCAATTTCAATTTTATTTGCAAATACACTAAGGTTAATGATGATTTCTCGGGAAAGTCAAATCCACAGTTTGTGATTAGTTTTTTAATGAACGTGGTTGTATTTGGAAAAATATGATTGGTAAAGAACATCGCCAAAGAAGCAACATTATAAGGGAAAATTTGTGGAGTAAATTTCCAGTGTTTGTGTTTATGATTATTATTATTTATGTTTTTCTGTACAATTTGTGGATTTAGAATTATGTTGAAAGAAATATAATACGTAACAGCATTAATTATCACATCAATGAAGCGATGGATTTGTCGTTTTGCAGGAAATTAAAGGAGATCATCAACGATTTTTTTTCCACATTTTCGAATTAAGCTTAAACATAATTAAAAATTCCAAACTTAAAATTGTTATTATGTGATCATCGCCCATTATCATAAAATTAAATTAGAAAATGAATTAATATTAGTAACCATTGAATGCATTCGTTTAGTTACTGATTAATTCGTTCATTCATTCATTTCCTTATTTGTAAGATTTTGATCAAACAAATATAATATTTATCCATTAGGGTTTTCCCCAAGAAATTATTTTTAATAATTCGCAAATAATAACTAAGCCGTTAACCGGCAGGGTTAATGCTGTATTAATGTTAAGTTATTTATCGGGCGGAATAAAAAATTCCGAAATTAATATTAATAGTTATTGTTATATGCAACTATATGTATTAGTTCAATTTTCATTTTAGATTTTTACCCCGTAATACTGTGACACAAAATCAAAGCAAGATATTTAACTTGTTATTTTTATTGCTAAACATTAAATTAATCCTTTATAATTGTGAATAATCATAATGTTGATTGATTTTTTAAAATCGACATTGCTACATGTAGTATTTAGAATATTTTTAAAATAAATGATTAAATATTAATATTAACATAATAATATATGTTAATAGGACCCTTGAATATACTTAATATACTAGAATTGCGCCAAACCGCGCCCGTACCAAAATGATATCTAAATGCTAATCAATAATAATACTAATAATAATCGCACTCCGTTTCGTCGATCATTTTTAAAATGACGATTTTAAAGCTTCTTATTATTCATTAATCATTCATTACACAGAAGAAAATTTAAAAATGACAATGCTATATTTTACAAGCATTCATTCACATTACTAAACAAATTCTAAAAATTATAGTAAACGCATATATAGTGAACTTTCTGGGATTAAAAAATCTTTTTATTTTTTTTCTGTAGTTATTTTGCTTCCAATGTTATAAAATTTTCAAGAAAAAATAAAAAAAAACAAAAATATTGATATTGATAATATGAAGAAAAAAGTAAAAGCAATTCTTTGTAAAATAACAAAGTCATTAAATAGAAAAATTACTAAAAAGACCATTAACTTTGATCGTATTTAAATAAAAAGAATTTGGGCTTTACCTTTCAACAAAAGTTGCAATAAACATCTAGCCACATTACATATTTGAGAAAGAAAAGTCGGCGAAAGATACCGTACATACTTGTATTGAAATGAGTGTTTTTCTTACCTTCTTTTGTTTATATATGTGTTTCTTTTTTTTTTTTTTTTTTTTTGACAGTTCTTTTCTCATAAACTGGAATTGTAAGATTTTAATTGCAACCAATCTCGTAATTACCATGGAATCTCGAAATGTTCATAATTTTTAAAGCATCATTATGATAAATATACATTCATTTGTTGGTTTGTAAAGTTATCACAAAAAATTTAATTATAAATGGTTAGAACACCCATGAACTTGTATAATTTAAAAGAACACTTAATAATTTACTATTATGGGATCTTTAGCTCCAACGAGATCAGATTTTTAAAAAATCTTCTTATAGAGACTTTGTTGTGGAATAATGTGTTTAACGAAATGTTAACAGCGTTGTAAAATTATTGCGTCAAATTCACTACTATTAAGTCAAAAACGACGAACGTAAAAGTTTAAATAAAAAATTACGACTTAAAATAAAAAATTTTATTTAATTGAAATTTATTGAAGTAAAAATTACAATTTTTTTATTCATTACGAGGGTTTGCATTATATTACTTATCATTACAATAACTATGACAACATCATCAACTATTATTAATAAAAATCGAATGTTATCAAAAACACCAATAGCATAAATGCCAATCAATTCATTATCTGCCAAACAATCAATTTCGTTGACATTGTTTCCAAAACAACCCCATAAAATTTGAGTACGTAAGCTTTCGTATTCTTTAGCTTTAGCGTGCAGATAAAAGGCTGTTTGTCCAACTACTGATAGTAAACATAAATTCAATATAATTTCAGTAGTTTTAAGTGGTGCGTTAATTCGGAATTCATTTTCCTGTACATATTAATACTCAGGGCTGGTTCTCTATAACTCCGTATGTTTCAGGATTTTCTTCCATGTGTGAGGATTTTTTATAGGATCAATTTACTCAAAATCAAAAAAAAAAAAAGGAGATAAAATTTTGTGAAAATTCTTGGAAAAAAATAATATCAAATATAAATTGACTATTATGTACAGTATAGTGCATTATCAAACTATTGTTATGCATACCCAAATTATTACAAAGGCCTCAAAAAGGCTCTGTATAGAATTAGTTAAAATTTCCAAAAAAGTAAATCTCATAATAAAAAGTCATATTGTGTGTCAAAAATGTCAAAATTAATATTTTAGGAATTTGGTTAACGTAGTACATGGAAAATACCGGAGCCTATCACCCGTTTTATTTCTTAGATATTTTACTATGTGAATTGACCCAGCTACAACAGTAAAATATTAATACAATTTTTGGGTCCTAATACATAATAATAAACTTTCATATTTTTTTTTTTTGTTTTATCATTTTTTTTAAACAATTACTCCAAATATTATTGTCTTCTAATTCTTATACGATATACCACTAAAATTTCTGGTCGAAACTACCTCTCTTAGTAGCTTGAAATTATCGAAATACTTTTGGGCAAAAATTAATTTTTTATAATTGCTAAAGCTACTTTTTTTCGAAAATAGTTTGGACCGAAAACCTTATATATCGTTGAGAAAGTATCCTTGTATTTTTAGCTTGAAGCAGCAAGGAATTGGCTGATAATATGATAAGAAGAGTGAAAGCGTGTTATGGAAATCCAATAAGATATCAATTAACCTTTGCTAACATTTCAATTAATTTTTATAAAGAGAAATTTAAAATTTTTTACAAAAGTTGACTTGGCAACAAAACTCTGTCGAGTAGTGATTTGTACCATATTCAGCAAAATGTAGAAGTTCAAGCATTTGTGACCCAAATTTTAATCAAAAGTGAGTTTACTTATACCAATTTGATGGAAATCATTTCCAATAAATTTAACAATGATAATTATGGCAAGTATAAGGTGCTTCCCGACCAAATAATGAAAGTGATCGACAACCACAGAAGTGGAAAGAATCAAAGCGTGATTGGCTTATTATAGAAAATATTTAATATTAGTGATTTGTATAGTGTTTTTTAAGCATTACAACAGTAATCTATCTACCGTATAGTTTTCGGGATCCTAGAGTGGATTTAGAATTGGACGGGCAGGAAACACTAGAGATATAGCATCAAAGAATTTCAACTATTATTTTTTATATTATTATTTTTAGGCAAAAATTGAGCCTTTGTCAAATAAAAATAAAAAAAAACCATTGATTTACTTTTTTACTTATTTCAAGATTTACTACTTTCGTCAAGTGTTTTATTTTAGTCAAATTATCAAAATGACCCTCTGTGAGAAACCATCTTTAGTCAATGTTGTAGTCGTGTCAACGACTAAAGTCAAAAGTTTCATCATGTATCATTAATATGTAAATTGTTATTTTGAAATCTGGAAATTCATTTCACTTTGATGTATTCAAAAATACCATTCAAAGAAGTAGGTGTTTTTCAAGTTATGACCACAAGCATTAAATATAATTTCAACCAGATCTTATAAACCGAAGGCAGGTCTACGCAAACTTATTTATCATCAGATTTGCTTGTTCTTATTAAAGAAGATGTAAATAACGAGAACTTACTTTACTCTATTTTGCATATGCTACTCATATTTTATTTCCAATAGATAAAATGATGTTGCATGTCAGTTCTAGTTGGGATGATTGATGTTATAGCAACATTCACTAACATCAAATCAAACAAAATAACCACCAGAAGGAATAAAATTTTCGCAATATGTAATTAGCTCTGCTTTTCTGATATCGGGTAACTAACACTATTAAAAAATCAAATTTAAACATACGGTAAGCATTTGTTAAGGTGTGCAGCTTTAGTTACAAAGGACCAACTTTTGATAAAGCCATAAGTCTTAACGAATGTTTAACTATTGTTAAATTTATTTTTTTACCAGCGCAAATAACCTTAGAACTCCCAGCTAAATGTGATTCATTATTACTTTGCGAGTTTATGATTTCAGAAAAACATTGTTCAAGTGTTTTTATCAAATACGGCTCACAAGCCATCATTAAAAATGAAGATTCCTTTTCTTTTTTTCTTTTTTTTTTTTTTGATAAACAAAATCACAATTGTAGATGATATGATATTTGTAACCATTATGTGCAATGGATTCACATTAATTATCACGATTATTCTTTGGGTTTCTCCATCTTGAACTTAAACAATATACCTGGGACCCAATAAAATATATTACAGTTACAAACTAATGTTAAATCGTGCAACTTTTAATATTTTTATTATCATGAGATAAATCATTAAATTTTATAATACTGTATTTTGTATTTCATTTGCATTAGATTTTCAACTTTTTTTAAAATCAAAAAATTTATATGTAATTGAAACGCAAATCATCTACACTCAAAAGTTGAAAAACTTGAAATATGACATCAGAATTTAGTATTAAAAAAGAAATTAGAATTGATTGATTCATTTCATTTTTATTTTTCCCGTAGATCATTCTTAATTTAATAATTATATTAAATGAATAAATATAAATTTCATTTCAATATAATAATTTATTTATTTAAATTATTATTGTTATTCGAAACATAATTATAGTAGTCATAGTTACCTCCCATCCATTCCTTTCTTCATTCCTGAAAAGAAATTATATGAATTTGTGTTACTACAAGTGTCGATCATTTATCACCTTTATTTTTTAAAGTTTTAATGTTTTTAAAATCTAACCAATTAGTTTTGAAGCAAGAGCCATAAAACATAAAACCTATCGGTTAAACATTTTTGAAATGATGTAAATTTTTTTTTGGATATTTAAAGCCATCCATATATTATTATAAAACATTCTAGATTATTATAGACGATCTGCAATTCCCAAAATTGAAATTCAAAATGCAAAATGACGTTCTTTCCTTTGAAATTGTTTTAATATAAAAATAGCTAATGCAGCCCTTTTCCTTTTTTGATGTAATATAAATCATCTAATAAATATAAACCTATTCAATTTCCATATAAATTATTGTCAAATGAGAATGAGGTTTTTCATTATGTAAACATTCAAATTCCCTAAATCATTTATCTTTTTTTTGCTATGATGATAATGACGATGCGATGATGATGATGATGCAGTGACTACGTTGGTAATGCGATGATAATATGGTGATGGTAATGTGATGGTGGTAATGATGATGGTGGTGATGATGGTGATGGTGATGATGGTGATGGTGGTGATGGTGATGATGAATTACCGCCATTTTTTCAAGAAAATTAATGTGATGATGATATATAGTACATAATACATGTTGACTTTTTTGGTATTCCATAACTTTATGAACGAAAAAAGCATAATTATATTTTTTATTCTTGAAGGGGAAAATCTACTCCAATATTCAGCCGTGTAAATAATTCCGATGAATGATTTGACAAAGGAATTAATTGTCCGTCTAATTCAAGGATATACGTCTCACTTTACAAGTTTCATCGTTTGTACTTGCCCCCAGATACCCGTTGTGTTGTCATTTAGAGGGAAAATGATAGTTTTAATCAATGAATGGGTGATCCCGTGTATTTTTTGTGAGTTGTAGATAAATTACTTGCATGCAATGTACACAAAAATATACTGCATTTTTTTGTTTAGGAATTTAGATTAAAATTTTCTTTGTTATTAAAAAGTATTTTTAAACACGCACGATCCAAGAATTTTTGGTGTTGTGCGAACAAATTGAATTGTTGTGTACAATTTACTGTTACACGATTATGTTAGAGTTGAGATTTATGCGACATGATTTTACCAACATTGTACTTTCTAGCTTTGGATTTTCTTATTTATTTTAATGCAAACAAACGTGTTATAATTAATATGATAATTTGGTTTTTAATATGGTATTTAATATGGTGGTGAAACAAATTATTTTGTACCACTAAAAATTTATTTCATTTTGTCGTATTTTGTCTCATGTATATTGTACATTCATATATACTATTACATATATTTTATTCAAATTAATCGCGTATATTTTTACCTAATTACTAAATAAGTCACGGAACAAAGTATCTAAATTATTAGAAAGCAAAAAAAAATACCCATTAAATATACCAGTATAATTCGTCAAAATTTGCAAATCTTTCTTTATATGGACGTTTAAAGATTATTGTGTGATCTGAAAACATACAAATTCTGAAGACTAAGTATTTATTTCTGCAGAGGAAAATCATGCATAATTGGTTGTTATTAGGCGGAGAAGAACAAATTTACGGAATAAAACCGACCATAATATAAACCAATACAATGGCTAAGAATATGTTGTTATTGTTGTTGTTTATAATGTACAGTACAACAAATAATAAATATTTAAAGATTGTTTTAATAAATGCATTTTATTTTGAAAATATTTAATATTTGTTCAATTATTTAACAATCTAATAATGTTGTCTCGATTTGTAATTAAAAATATTTGTAGAGTTTATTTATTTATTTGATTTGTTGTTAGAAACTTCTGCTCCGTCAATAAAGAATTTCTTTGTTTTTTATTTTTAGAATTTTTGTTATTATAATGACTACTGTTTTAGCAAACATATATTCATATTTACGTTTACGATTGCTGATTGGATTGCAATTGAAGATAATGATGACAAAGATAATTGGATTTATTAATAATCGCAATTATTGCTAATGATTGGATCGATAATATTGGGGTCGGAAAAATAATAATCATAAATTTGGTAAGCTTGTTAATTTTTATTTATTATTATTATTATGTTTGTCCCTGACTAATCTCATGCACTTTCTCACTCACGCGCGCACACACTTAATTCGAGTCACCGCCCTACTATGATTATTATTGATGCTATTATTATTAATGTTATTGTTGTTATTGTTGTTATCTAGATACTAACATTGTTCAATGTTGTTATCTAATTGAACTTTCGATCAAGAATGTCAAGAAGGCTTTTTGTTTTCAATATTAAGGAGTTAAGACTGCGAGAAGATACACATATAAAGATTCTCTTTTATATGGCGTACAATTTACTTTTTCCACTAAGCCATCATCTCTTGTGTTAAAAAAATAGTACATATATGTATGTGTATGTTTGAGATTAGATTGTATATTTATTATTATTCTAATTAATAAACTTTAAATATAATCATAATATAATTAATTAATAAAACAAGAATGATTAGTCCAAATCTAGATTTATCATACCTTTTTTTGTTTTTGTGTGAGAATGTGAGTAATAAAACAAAACTTTCAAAATCTTCGAATTTTTATTGGAGGGATCATCATTGTACAATAAATAAATAAATAAAATTTATTATTTTATGCTAATTATAGATAGGAAGAATGCCAAACAATTAATTAAAAATAGGTTTTAATTTTCCAGTGGCAAAATGAAACTTTTTTTTTTTATAAAAAAACATTCAACATCGTACTTTCCCTCTATCAATAGTAAAAACTGTAGTCTTCTCTATATAGAAACCATTTTTCTTTCGAGTCTAGAATGTTTTTTGTCAATCATCACTTGCATTGGTTGTGCAAATAAAAAAATAAAAAAATGAATGATATCTATCTCTCTTAATGAACTAATAAATAGATTTTTGGGATATAGAAATGTTTTTTAACGAGAATATACACTAATTAATTATAATTAATTGGTTGATTGGTTGATTTATCTTTCTTTTTTTCTTTTATTTGTTATTTTCAAAAAATCGGAAGCCACGCGTATAAATTTCTTCTGGAAAGAAAAGAATTCTAGAAAATTAAAAAAATTACTTTTTTCAATTTTCATTTAACTTCTTTGGAAACGGAGTACCTTCTTTTTTGTTTATTGTTACACGATACCAATATGGTAGATCTACTATTTTGTTGCAATTTATTTATATCCTTACTATATTACTTTGTCATTTATTATTAATTTTTTTTATATATATACTTGTGCTCTCAGAAATAATCGTAAGGAAAAAAATTAAAAAATTAATTCGTCAACGCTTTTACCTCTTAATAAAATTATATACTCTATATAAAACGTATTTTCCCAAGGAAATTATATTCATCGATACATTTTATTTTTTTAATAAAATTATATATTTGAAATTATAAACAAAATCATTTATAAATATTTACATCTAATAAACAAACATGAATAATCGATGTGATAAGCTTAGTTATAAATCAACAGCAATACCAAATGTAATAAACATGAATAGTGGGGTCAAAATGCATTATTCGCCACCTTCACTCGTTTCTTCGTCTTCCTCGGAAAGTAGCAGCGATTATGAAGAAGAGGAAGAGGAAGAGGAAGAAGGGATTCTTTTAAGAGAAATTCAAAACGTAAAAAATCAATTAAACCTATTCCCGGTTCCATCCACTCCCGAAAGTTATGTCCAAAAGAATCCTTTCAACGCAACTGACGGACGCGTTAAACGTCCCTCAAATTGCTTTATAATTTTCCGAAAGATAGCCCATGACCAAAAAAAGTTCAACAAACAATTGGAAGTTTATAATGAAAGGGAATTTAGTAAAATATTAGGAATAATTTGGAAAAGCTTAGAAAAACGGCAAGTACAAATGTACAAGACGTTTGCTGATTCCGTAGCAAATCTTCACACCACAAGAAATCCTAATTACAAATATCGCCCGAAAAGAAATCGTGCCGCTTGGAAGCAGTATGTCCCTTATTCGTTGATCGAACACAAAAACTATAAAACAACAGCAAACGATAATCTGGAAAAAGCACCATCGACAGCAGTTTCTTCGGAGGCATTGGCAACAGCACCAATTAATCCCAATAATTGTATTAATGATAATTATGATCATAATTATAATAACAATATTAATAATTTTAGCAGCAAAAGCACCGGCGGAAGCAGCTATGACAACAACAATATCAGTAATCTTGACGCTAATAATAATTTGATCATAAAAAATAATCCTTTGTTTAGTGGTATTCCTCACTTTGGACAATCCGGCGCCAATGACAACCACAACTATGACAATTTCGTCAGCAATGATTACTTAGATTTAAACAACTACGATAGTAATAACGACGCCAATAACATCGACAATAACAGCGATAATAACGTTGGTCCCTATGTGATCAATTATGGTTATACACATTATTACGAAACGCCTTATACTTTACGGTCTAACGAAAGCAACAGTAATGTTGGTAATAAAAGTACTCTTTTCAATGAAAACAACAATAATAACATCGAAGATAATTTTATTAATACTACCGCCAGTAATAATTTAGATTATAACCTTAGTAATATTATTAATTGGGATTGTAATAATAATCGTTGCTTTGAAAATATTTTCTTTTCATAGTATTAACTATATCGAAGATGTTAATGCAACATCCTCGAACATTCCACAATTTATATATTTACTCTCGTTATAATAATATAACAACATTTATGATACAGATAATATTACATTTAGCATTTTAAAGTATCCGCAGTAATTATCTTTATTATCTTCATTGTCGTCGTGGTCATCATGTGAACATCGAACATGTGAACATGTGAATGGAAGGACATCATCAAAATAAAAAACATCCAACAACCAACTAACAAATGATGAAACACAACAATCGAAAAACGAAGTCATTTGATAGCAAAATCTTTTTAGAAATAGAATAAATTAATTTTCATTTGTTTCTCGAATTTTTTTTTTTATTTTTTATTGTGGCTATTTTTCTCACATGATTAATTAATTTTTTTTTAAATCTTCTCTTTTTTTTAAATAAATATATCAAGGATAAACGTTGTACTTGGAATTTTTTTTTTATTTCTTTTTATAAATATATCGAAGATAGGCATTATGAATTTTATTGTACGCAGCAATTAATATATTATCTTCTATTTTTGTCTTTTTCTTAATTAAAAAATATTTATAAACAATAAGCATCAGCTGGTCGGTTTTGTCAATGCACGTGAGTGTATTTATTTTTGTTTATTGGATCAATCAGATGATGAATTCGTTGTAAATATGACTGATATGACTGATATTATTGATACAATCATTTAATCATTTCGTTACTAATTCCTCCGCTATTAGATGGGAAAGATAAAAAAAAAATAGATTAATTGATTAGAATCAGTTAATTAATTAGAAAATAAATTATAATCGATTGTTAATGGTAGGTAATAATAGCAAGAAATAAATAATAAATCAATAAATTAATATTTTCAACAGATATTATTATTATTAAAAAATATGAATGTAAATGTTTCGGATTTTTATTTATTTTTACATTTATTATATAAAAAAGTTTTTTTTTATATTACTGTATAAAAAAAAACTTTTTTTAAAAATAAGTAAAAGGTCAGTCAATCACAATTTATTCCTTGTAATATACAAGTATATCAAAAAATAATAAAATGGGCAACAGTTTCATGCTAACATAAATATATACATACATTGTGTTGATAACAGGTGGTATTATTATATACATATATGTTTATAAATATAGCAAATATTACAGTAGTATTGTAATTATATATATATATATATATACTGTTAAATATCAATAAATAAATTAGAGTACTAAATATATACGGCCTAAGGGAAATTAAAAACGGATAAATATTTGCTATATTAATAATATTATGTCTTCTTGATATTTACTATCACTTGTGCTACCATTAAGGGACCCAAGTGTAGAAGTATTAGTAAAAGTAAAAAAGTAACAAGTAATTTCCTAATTCATTATTTTTACCTAATTCATTAATAATAAAACAAATTTATACTTTGCCTGATTAAAACATTAGTGTGACCACTAACATATTTTATTCACACGACACGATTGATCAAATTTTTTAGTGAAGATATTCTATAAAGAAGATTTCCTTGATTACTTACTTCACTATTGGAAAATATTTTTATTTTTATATTTTGTTAGCAGCTTATTAAAGGACAATAGTCAATACTAAATATAGCACCAATGTACAACGAATAACCAATAAATTTTACAAATTGTAAAATTATAAATGATTCCACCTATTACTTACTATCTATAATGATTACTATTTGTAACATTTTGTAAATAATCTAGGGCTGTCCAAATTCGGTAGTGTCACATAGCACTACATAAATTAGCTTCTGCTGCACAAGATCATGCGTTTTTATAAAATAAATATATATATAACCTTTTTTCCCAATGCTAAATAAATTTTTTTTTTAAAAATCAAGATTAAATAAATTATTTTTCCCTTAACAACCAACATCAGCAACAACAACAAGAATAATAATTATTATAATAATTTTATAATAATAATAATAATAATATAATATAATAATAATATAATAATATAATAAATAATATAATAGTAATATAATAATAATAAAATTCAAAAAATTTTATATAGAAATAATAGAATAAATACATAATCGTTCACCTTTTATATTTTCATCATTTTTTATCTTTTAAAAAAATGTCAACAATTAATATATCGCCACAAAAACAACCCTTACCGTTTAGTGAATTAGAAAAAGAGTTAAGTCATAATAGAGATTTATTTTATAAACCTTTAGTAAATGCTAGGGACATTGCATTATCCTCAAAGAAAAAAGGATCTCAGAAGGTTAACAGGCCACTAAACAGTTTCATGGTTTATAAAATAAATTTCAACCAAGTAGTTAAATTATATGGTTACTCATGGGGCAAAAATATGAAACATGCGACGCGTTATGCTTCATTTCTTTGGAAGCAAGCAACACCACAAGAAAGAAGCATATTCGTAGAAATAGCAAATGAATCGAGAGTAATTCATAAAGAATTAAATCCCGGGTATAACTATTCCCATACTGTCAGAAGAGCCTCCAACTTTGTTATGGTCGATTTCTCCAAAAGAAAAAATAGCACTAATAATACTAATAGTAATCAAAAGCTCAAAGAATCAAATCCTACCTGTCCGACAATCGATCCGACAACACCAACAACAGTTGATTGTAATATAGTTGATGATTCTAGTTATGATTCAATGATACCAGTGTTTCAAACAATACCTTTACCACCACCACCACCATCACCATTGTTCTCATCACTTATGTCACCATTATCCATACCATCGTCATCTCCTGAAATGTGTTTACAAACCACGTCTACCACAACATATTCACCTAATCTTAATGATATTTTAACTTTCTATAATAATAATAGTAATTATTGTAATAATAATTGTAATAATAATAACTATAATGATGATGATGATAATAATAATTATTATTATAATAATAATTGTAATAATAATAACTATAACGGTAATGATGATAATAATAATAATTATAATAATAATAATGATGGTAATATTATTTATTATAATGATACTTATGATTATATTTACAATAATAACTACATTAACGATAATTATTATAACATTAACAACAACAACATAACATACCCGGAGGCTTATGATAATGTTATTACTTATCCATGTGGAGATTTTAATCTGGATTGTAATGCGTATATGAAAGGTGACTCTAATCCGTTGCAGAATCCGAGTTATATTGAAGAGTTATATCGTTATCTGTCCTTGCAAGGTGGAGCAAACAAACAAATATAATTCATTATTAGTGGTAGTAGACATAACATGGACAATAAAAATATATTAAATAAATTATAAAATTATAGTAATATTTAATAATTAATAGTTAGTTAGTTATATAAATAGTAAGCAATAGTAAGCAATAGTAATAATAAATAATAATCTTGTTAGTTTACTATTAATTATTTGAACATTTTTTCTTATTCATATATTGTACAAACAAACAAACAACAACATTAAGACTCTCGGACAACTTTTTTTCGCTTACTAAATTAAGATGATACGTGTACTACATGTTCTTTTATTATTTTAAAATTTTTTTTTACTTTATTATTTTGTGTTGATTATTTAATAATAATTAATTAATTAAATTTACTAATAATAAAAAATATCAACATGTTAAATCCATCTTTATTGAAAATATATTTATACGCAGCCAGCTGGTCCAATTCTTAACTATGCAGTTACAAATTTGAACAAAAACCTAGCAAGGTGTTACATTAGTATTTGATGAGTGGAAGAATTCCATCAATCAAGCAATTATGATTATATGCCACCTTAACTGTTAATAATTAAACTTGCTATTATTTAATAATTAATATGTGTGGCAGATGCAACCAACAACCCTAAACTTTATAAGTGAAAACATGAGAGATATATAGATGGATAGATGGATAGATGGATAGACGAATGAACGTCCTTTCCAAAATAACGAGAATTTAGCACTCTGGTGACAGATATTATCTTTGTTACACAAATATGCAAGTAGGGAAAATCTGTCAACGTTAAAAATGATTCATCCTTCATTTTGTGAAATTATATACATTTTATTTTATGCATAATCTCATGTTAATATTTTAAATATTATAATTATGAGGGCATTTAAAAGGCGGAATTTAATTAGACATTAACATTGTCTAAAATAATGAATATTATTGGGGATTTACCCCAACGTAATCATAATAAATAAATAAAAAAAGAGAAACTTGATTTCAAAACAATACATTTGCATATATAAAGATCCAACCAGGTTTTAATTATCATCCAACTGTAAACAAACAAACATTTTAAAATCGTATTGTAACAACACATATATGCATAATAATAACGCACAATTGTATAATGCATATATGACAAGATCGGAACAATTTATGGTGCAAAGATCTTTTTACAAAAAATTAAATAACAATAATAACAAAACAACACAACAACAACAACAACAACAACAACAACAACAACAACAACAACAATAACACAACAACAAACAACAATAACAACAATTTTTAATTTTAAATAAGCCTGGTAAAATAGCATTTATTTGGTTTTTTATTAGCCTTAAAAAGTAATATAATAAGTGTATATTTATTCATTACATGCAACCCAACATGCTGAGATTAAGCCAATAAACTTTTATTATTATTATTATTTCCTTCATTAAATTACTAAATAATCAACAATAAACTATTGTAATTAATTGATGCATTGTTTTTTTTTTTTGCTAATTTACTTGTCTCTTATTTACTTTCCCACACATCATTCATAATAATAAACAACAATAATAAACCCATTTAAATTTCACAAATTAATTGATTATAAAAAAATAATTAACCTTTTATTGACAACTATTACTTTAACGAGATGATGATATGTATGTCATTATCATACAAAATAATCCCTCCCGAAAAAAGAAAGGAAGAGAAAGAGAAAATTACAAATATTTGTAAATATTTGTAAATATCAAATTTCCTTGCCTTTTTGTTTATAAATTTAATTAATTAATTGTTTGTTTGTTTGATTCGCTCATTCTATCTTAAGAGCAGTTGCATATGATCCTGTACAGATATGGTATTAAAGTTTTTTATAGATCTTGCTAATGAAGATATTAATTGGTGTGGTAAATCAGGCGATAATATTTCTCATATTGATATTTATTGTATAAGGATAATAAAGGAAAAGATAATATGAGAAGTTTGTGTTCAAGAAGCTATACGCCAAGTTTATGTTAATAAAAATACACAAATCAATAATATTTCATGCTGCAATCATAATTAAGATGCATTTGGTTTTGTAATGAAAGTAATAATTTTTATTATTTGAAGAAATTAAACAGACAACAAAAGAAAACATGCTAAAATTGTTTGGGAAATATAGTAAAAGGAAAGTTCCTTCCACTCATACCAGTGTTGCGACCCGAAACTCTGAGTTAGGGAAGACCCGAAACAGAAACTAACAGAAACTACCTGAAACTAGTTTAGGTTGGTAGTTTATGCTTAGGTTTAGGTTTAGGTTTAGTTTTCTGCTTAGTGTAAGTTCATTTTCCTGAAACGTTTCGGGAAGCCAAAAGAGTTTCTGGTCACAACACTGACTCATACCCAATCAACATTAAGTGAATTAGATATTAAACAAAAAATAGCCAAGAATATGCATTATTATAAAATATCGAAAAAGATCATATCCATGCATAATATTACGGTTGCCCAGACTATTTTTAAAAGAGCAAAAATAACTATCTATATTATCATCCCAAGATTATAAAATACCTGGTAATTTCATCACGCAACCTATGAAAAAAATTATTTCAATTGAATAATTATTATCATTATTATATAAATTTTTTTAATTATATAACCCTTGATAAATGCACTTCCTCCATAAATGTATCTTGTGTCCTGGTCCCAACCTCAGGATGCATAATATTACGGTTGCCCAGACTATTTTTAAAAGAGCAAAAATAACTATCTATATTATCATCCCAAGATTATAAAATACCTGGTAATTTCATCACGCAACCTATGAAAAAAATTATTTCAATTGAATAATTATTATCATTATTATATAAATTTTTTTTAATTATATAACCCTTGATAAATGCACTTCCTCCATAAATGTATCTTGTGTCCTGGTCCCAACCTCAGGATTTAGAGGTAAATCCATGCCCTGTATTACTATGTTCTGCACTGCACGATCCCATTTCATACTCTAAATGCATACCCGTGACTTTCACGTGACCATATCGCAATATAATTCTTGTGTTACATAATATAACGAACAAATAAAAATTCTTTTATTACAGAAAATGATAAATCCTTTTTTTTTTAATGGATTATTAGAATAATAGAATAAGAGAGGGAGAATACAGGTGACAAAGATTTTATATTTTTTATAGTTGAATTATTATATATAAAGGTAAAGGAAAAGGCATACAGATAAAATTAAATAATTTAATTCTAATTATACTTGTTATTTTAAAAAATAAAAATAATTGGTTATCTTCTAATTTGTAAAATATTATTATCAAATAAATTAAATTAACATTATACTTGGTTATTAAATCATTGTTCGCTGTAATTGTTCTTATGACATTCATATTCTCCAAATAAAATGACTTCAAGTAAAATAACTGCCCGATCTAAAATATGGAATTTTGCTTATTTGTCACAAGCAATAAATTGACCAGAAAAGAATATGTAAATTACCTACCGAGCCAATGCCAACGAAGCTTCAAAAAGTTTAAGATTGATCGTACAAGAAAATTCTAAAAATGCTAATGCTCTTGATAAATTTAGTTTAAAAAAATAAATAAAACTACATGACTTATTAATTAAAAATTTTTTTTTATTAGTGTCACATGCAGTCAATAAAATACTTTTGTCTTATTACTATATATAAAATGCACAGTCTCACTTGGCTGAAAAACCTGACTGTGTGGCGTAATATCAGGTCAATACATATTATTATTGCCAAATTTAGATACTAATATGATACAACTAAAAAAAGTCGCAAAATCTAGACCTCGAACTATAATGTGATCGATATAATGTATTGTAACACAAAAATATGATGGAGGGAAAAAAGCAATTTCTTTACATGATGGTATTTTTTAAATATTCTAATGTGTGGCGGGGTCAAGTTTTTGGGTATAAACTAGGGATGTCCACCGAAACCGAAAGTGTACCGAAAGTGCTTTCGAACATTTACAAGTTTGAAACTTAAACCAAGTCTCAAACAATGAATACATTTGACTAAAATTTGCTTATTTTATTTAAATTCTTTTCTGACAATCTCAATCAACTATCAAAAATCATTATCAAATTTTATAATTAATCCTAGTTTTTTTCTAAACTCGACCCTTTTTTTTCTAGCCTATTTTCTAATAATTTTTTCTTATTAATTTTATTATTAACTAGTTTCTTTTCATTTTGGTTTTTATTATCTGCATTACTATCATCATAATCATAACCGCCATCTATATTATTTGCTTCATAATAAATTGTTCTATTTTCACAAATAGCAGGTTAAGTTTGGAGTTAATATTAATCACTTCTATATCAAAAAGTCTTCCTGAAATTGCTTTTCTATTAGGTGGTGTGTAAGCAGACCCAAGTTGTTCAAGTAACTCGATAAAATATGGATTCTGAATAACATTAAAAGGTATATCACACATTACAAATGCCCTAATTAATGCTCTATTAATATTATCATCCCTTTCTATGGTTAATTTTGTGCTTTCGTAGAATTTAGACAAACTTTGTTGTTCTTGTTTATTAAAAAGAAATTTGACTACTTTCTTTTTTTTTAAGAGTTTTTTTTTGCAATGACAACCAAATAATAAATTTCTCTATTGCAACCACCACATTCATTTACCAGATGTTTTTCAAGTAACATACATCAAAAAATTTGGCACAATAGTAACACTTTGTAGGATAGTGTCCTTTGCTATTTTTAACCTCATAAAGTGTATTCAAACATTCGAAGGAGAACATCCAATAATTTGTGAATTTCCAATTTGATTCTAAAAATAAATGAACATGATATTTAGAATTATGTAATTATGCCAAAACATATTCAAATATAATATAATTAAATAATTAATCTCATTTTTTAATTCAAGTAACTGCCACATAAGATAAAATAATTCCTCCCGTGAAACTTCTTTTTACATTATTAATATATGTATCATTGTCAGCAGTCAATAGAAAATAAAAGTAAATTTAATAAATTCATTGTAAATTTTCTTGAATTACAAAAATAATTGGAAAATCGTTCCTGTTGATTAAATGCATGTTTTGCACTCAAATTAAGTCCAATTCGCATCGTGTGTACCTTTTCAAAACAACATGGATAATAACTTTATCTTTCAGATAATTTATTTTGTTTATTATTTTTCAAATGTTGTAAAAATTGACTTCAAAATGTCCACGTCTCGTCAAGAAAGAAAATGTTAGACTCTATTGCATTTTTGGAACCAGGGTGTGAGATCTGCCAAAGAATTTCACACTCTGACAAAGATTCTTCTCTTTACTATCTATTTTAACATTGAAAAAATTTAAAAGATAGGCAACATTTTGCATAAAGGTGGTAATGGTCGACTAAACAAGATTACTGTGGATGCTGCACATTCAATTGGACAAACTATCAAAAAAGGTATTTCGGTTTCAAACCATGGTTATAAAAAAAGCCTTCCACAAGTCGCCCTATAAGGAGAAAAGAATAGGAAACACGTGAATGATTACTGGTAAAAGACATTATTCACCGATGAAACGGCCTTTCAGCTGTTTAGGAACATTGGCATAAAGGTGTGAAGCCAGTTCGTCGCATGTCAAAATACGGAACAAAATTTTTAGCATGGGCGATTTTGTGTAAATGGAAACTTTTTTGTTATAGTAATTAATGGATGCGAATTTTTATGTGGATATACTTGGAAATCATATTCCAGAAGTTAATGAGATGCTGGGGATTCCGACGGACAATGATCCTAAACATATTAGTAGAATCGCCCAAAGCATTTCTCAACGGAAATGTTCCTGAATTAATGAACTGACCATCCAATAGTCTTGATCTTAACCCATTGAAAACCTCTGGAGCATTGTTAAACAAATTGTTGAAGGAAGGATGCCAAAAAATTGTTATGAATTAAGCCGTTTTATGAAAGAGGAACGAGATAATATTCCAAATCATATTTTAATTAACTTAATCAACTCAATTAAAGATCGTTATGGATTGATTATTGAAAAAATGGTGAAAAAATACCATATTAATTTATAATAAAATGTGCTAATTCTCAATTATTTTTGTTACTGTACATCAGGGCTGGAAATAGGGTCTGAAAAAAAAACGGAAATTCCTCCTGAATGCTAAGAATTTTCCGGAAGAAAAATTTAAAAAAAGGAAAATTTTTTTCAAATTTAAGAATTTTCTTTATTTTATACTTCTGTTTTTACTTTGAAGAAGATTACTAAGAGCATCACTAAAATCATAACAAAATAAATCAGTACTTTCTAAACCAACCATCATTAATAAGTGCAATATGTCATTTTCCATTGCATTACATAAATCTGTTTTGTTTTCTAAAGCCTCTTTCACAATCTACACTAGAAAATGGAATTGAGTGCACTATTTCTATAAGTTTTAAAATATAAATAAGACTTGGAAGTTTGGAAATTGGAATATTTTCTTTTGCCATCCAGTAAATCATTTTCATTATATTAATTATACGTTTGTTACCATTATTAGTGGTTTTTTTTTGGAAGAATCTTGCATGATTATTCTCTTTTCTAGAAAAAAAGAGCCATTATGTTGGTTTGAAAGTGCATGAGTTGCTAGAGCAGTAGATTTTGAAATACTCTTTGATCCCAAATAATAACATTATAATATTAGTAATTTAAGAATTGCAAAATACAAAATTAATTATATTTATTTGTCACCTTTTCCTGTAAATAGATTTTTTTCCCGTGTGCTTTATAAATTATGTAAAACATTCTCTTCATTGCTGCATCATATTTTACCATTTATATATGTTTAGCCATTCATGCTTAAAACTTCTTCCTGATTTTTAAAATGCATTTTTTTATTTGACATTTTAATATGGTTTTCACTTGATTCACTTTTTTTATTTGATTTTTTTTGAAGTATCATCATCATCTGAGCCTTGAATTGTCAAAACATCTGAACCTTCTATATCTGAT